TTTTCAAAGGCCCTTACAAATCTTGCCCTTGGCTAGTGCCTGGAAACTTGGATTTCGGGAGGTTTCTACCATTCCCTAATAAGAACAGCTCACTCTGTCTATACAATATCATTTACGCTGAATGCCTGCTTTCCTTCTTGAAGTTTGGAATTCTGGTACATGCTAGCAGAGAATGCCTACATGACCATCCTCCAATAAAGACTCTGGTCATTGTGTCTCCAGTGAGCCTCCCTGACTGACAACACTTAAATATACTGTCACAACTCATTGTAGGAGAAATTAAGAATGTCCTATATGACTCTACCAGGAGAGAACTTTTGGAGGTTTGCAACTGTTTTCATCTAGATTTTTTTTTGCCCCATGGGCCCTTTCCTTTTGCTGATTTTGGTTTTATCTTTTCATCACCATAATAAATCATAGTCATGAATATGGCTGTATACTGAGAACTGTGAGTATTCCTCACAAATCATAGAACCTGGGCTTGGTCTTGGGCATCCTTAACACACAACTCAGAAATGTTATGTAATTATAAGATAAGCAAAGCCTGTTTATAAAAACATACTGACTAAAATCAGTTATCTTAAATTTGTTTAAAAATCCACATCCCAATTTGTTGCTAAAAGTTTATAAAAAATAATTTAAATTAGCCCTAGCTGGTGTAGTTCAGTGGATTCAGCATGACCTGTGAACCAAAAGGTTGCAGATTCGATTCCCAGTTAGGGCATATACCTGGGTTGCAGACCAGGTCCTCAGTGGGGGCAATGTGAGAGGCAACCACACACTATATTTCTTTCCCTCTCTTTCTCCCTCCCTTCCCTCTCTTTAAAGATAAATAAATAAAATCTTTTAAAAATTTAAAGCATTCAAAGCTCAAAGAGATCACTCCAAGAAGTATAATCTTCACTTATAATTAACAGAAGCTAACATATATTATTATGTACTAATGCTAAGTGCATTTATATGCATACCTTATGTAATTCTCAAAACGGGTTTATAAAGTAAAGCTGTAATCATCTCTCATTTTACAGATAAGAAAAATAAAGCTCAAAGGACTTAAAAAGCTTGTCATGACTCCACCAGCATGTATTCAAATTCCTAACAATCTGACTCTAAAGTATGCAGTTTTAATTACAATGTTTATAATATCCCCTCCCATGTAAAAGCGTAAATAACACAAAACATACCTCAAACTACCTATTTCTAACTCATTTTTACACTACTATTCTTCATAACTATCCATTCTTTATATTGCAGAGTTGCCTGTAATACAGGCAGCCAAAATCATTCCTTATTAGATAAAATATGAATCATTAAAAAAATTTTTCAGGAAATATTTTCAAGAAAGTCCAGCACAACCTCCAGAATATATCAGGCTTGCCACTTTCCAAGAATGTGGATATAATTATCTCATCCTTATCAACAGCAGCATTATGCTATGCTTCTCTGTAAGAGTGAATCAAAATACAGCAGTACCTGCTTTATCCAGTTTCGATTTCTGCAGTTTCAGTTATCCACAGTCAGCAGAGCTCCAAAAGTACTAAAGAGAAAATTCCAGAAATGAATTCAATTTTTAAGTTGTATACTAATTTGAGTAGTATGATGAAATCTCACAGCATCCCTCTGTCCTGGATGTAAATCATCCCTTTACCAATGTCTCCATATGCTTCCTGCCCATTAGTCACTTAGTAGCCTTCTCAGTGATGACATCACCTGACCTGGTGTTTAAGTGTTTGTATTCAAGTAACCCTTATTTTACTAAATAATGGAAATGAAGCACAAGAATGGCGATGCAGGCCAATTTGAGTATGTCAAAGAAAAGCTGTAAAGTGCTTCCTTTAAGTAAAAAAAGTGATTACATCATAAGACATTTTGAGAGACCACATTCACATACCTTTTATTAATAATTATTCTATTTTATTATTAGTCATTGTTAATCTCCTACTATGCCTAACTTATAAACTTTATTATAACTATACATAAGTAAAAATATAGTATATGTAGGGTTCAGTACTATTTGTGGTTGCAGGCATCCACTGTGGGCCTTGAAATGTATCCCCTGTGGATAAAGGGGGTCTACCGTATATTCAAACATCCCTTCTATTGGAAAGTCATTCAGAGTGTATGCTATTATAAGCAATGCTGCAAAGAATACCAGTGTACCTATCTTTATGTATTCATGCTTATACTTTGTAAGATGAATTTTCCTTGAAGTTGGATCTATCATAGTTTTACAATTTTTATGCAATCAAAGTAACAATCTTTTTCCTCTATGGCTTCTGCCATTGGTGTCATGCTTAGAAAGGTCCTCCCTACCCTAAAAGCTAAATATATATATATATATATATATATATATATATATATATATTCTCCTAATTTTTCTACTGTTTTTATACTTTTGTTATATATCTTCAACATACATGTAAGTTATTTTTGTGAATGGTGTGAAACAGGAACCCAACTAAATTTTTTTAAGTATATGAGGTTATCAGTTGTGGAAAAAGAGCAAATGCACATAGCTGTCATAACTGAGGTAATTAGTCATGAACAGATATAACAGAAGCAACCTGAAATTCCACTTGGGCATATTTGTGGACTCTATTCATTAATCTATTTGTTCATTCCTGAACTAGTACAACATAATTCATCTTAATATATGTTTGGAGAAAATTCACAGTAGAAGGTAAGCTTCATGAGGGCAAAACTCAGACCACCCTTGATGGCTGCCTTCTTCTTCCCAGAAGCTAGACTAGAACCTGGCATATGGTAGGTATTTAATGAATATTTGTTGAAAGAACAATTAAATACATGAACTTTGGCATTCCAAAACTCAATTTCTTGACCCTCTGCTTTTCTCCTTGTTGCAAAATGGAAACATCAGGTTTCTGGGTGGAAGCCTTTTAGCTAAAACAGGCTTAAAACACTGTTCTTGCCCTTCTGGCTTACATAATAAAACATCACTGAAACATTATCCTCCTCATCCAGTGTGTAGGGGGCCCACTATGTTAGATGCAAGGGTCACAAAGATTTTTTTTAAGATTTTATTTATTTTTAGAGGGGAAGGGAAGGACAGAGGGAGAGAAACATCAATGTATGGTTGCCTCTCATGGGTCCCCTGCTGGGAACTGGCCTGCAACCCAGGCATGTGCCCTGACTGGGAATCGACCCACAATCCTCTGGTTCACAGCCCCCCCCCCCCCCCCCCGGCTCAATCCACTGAGCTACACCAGCCAGAGCACAAAGATTTTTATATGGGACAGATTCCCAGCTAATGTTCTGATTGGGAAAAAGTGTACACACACAAATACATATATGTAAAATAAATAATTATATAGAATGTTCCTGGCAGGTGTAGCTCTATGGATTGAGCACGAGCCTGCAAACCAGACAATCGAAGTTCAATTCCCGGTCTGGGCACATTCCTGGGTTGCAGGCCAGTTCCCTGCAGGCCAATTCCCTGCAGGCCAATTCCCAGCATGGGACGCGAATGGCAACCAAACATTGATGTTTCTCTCCCTCTCTCCTTCCCTTTCCCTCTGAAGATAAATAAATAAAATCTTAAAAAAAAATTATATAGAATGTTAAGTGACAAATAGATGATGCAGAAGAATACAGACCATAGAGTCAGAGGACTGGGCTTCCCTGAACCAGTTTTCCTATTGATAAAATAAGCAAAATAGCTATTTCCACTTCATAGAATAACTCAAGATTTACAAGAGAAGGCAGTCACCAAGGATGGTCCTAAAATGTTGCATTATAGTACCATTAAGCCTCAATAATAATGACTTGGAGAGTTTTTATTATATGAGCTTTAAATGCTTTAATGTATTCACTCATTTAAATCTCTCAACTCTAAGATGTGATAACTATTATTTTCTCCCCAATTTTAATGAGCATATTTAATTTTACTTTGCACAAAAAATAAAGTATGAGGTTCAAACCCAAAGATTCTGGGTTTGACTGAACTATTACACAAAACAGTAATAGTACACCTTGAGAGTTGAATTTAGACAAGCAGATAGATTGTGGGAGACACACTCACCTACCTGCCTTGAACAATAAATTGACAAGTTTGGTTACATTAGTAGTCAAGGGGGAATTTGATTACATAATTAACTTTTGCGGGCGGGGGGGTGCTTCTCTCATCTTTATTAAACTCATGCAGTTTCTGACAGAAAACAAGACAACCATTTTTCAATTATAAATATTACCCTGCTGCCAGAGCACAAGCTCTGGCTGCGATCCTTTCGGAATCTGGTCTACTTGGCTTTGCGGTTACTGCCTCCACGGATCACTGTGAAAACAACCCAGTTTAATCTAGTAGCAACTGATCCTAAACATCTACAGCTCCGAACTCCGAATCTTTTCCCTCCATCCCTTCACGCCCCATCCCTGTGAGTCCTAACAGCACCAGGAACTTCTGGAACAGAAGGTCGGAAAACGATTGCCTAGGTAACCGCGTCGCCTTCCAGCCCAGACCAAGGACCACGGCTCTGAGGCTGCGCAGGTTCCTTTACCCCTACTTCAGCCACCACTTTGGTGCTCTCAGGCCTTGGGCCAAGCATTAGGCCTTGTGCCGGAGTCTGCCCTTCCCCAAACCTCAGTTTCCACACTAAATCTCCACAGAAAGGCTTTGGAGCAGGCCCATTCCCCCGTTAAGAGCTCCTATATTCCGGGCTACTTGACCCAGAAGTCTGGGGTCCCACTCCCTCGGCACCTCGGGGCCTTCTCCTTCCCCAGCCCAGCTCACGCCCGTTACCTCATCTCCCTTTGGTGCGTTCTTCCACCAAAGCACCCTTCTCCTGCCGCGCACCAGTTTGCGCGGCGCTGCCAGAGAGGCGTGCGTCGCACCGCGGGATGGGGCCTGGAGGCGGGATCAGAATATTGGAGCCAAGGGGTGGGCGTCTTTCGCCCAAGCAGCCAATCAGCATACCAGATTCGCCCAATCGGCACGCGCGTTGAGTGTGGGGCGGAGTCTGGGGTGGCTGCGCCGACGTTTGAGAATGCTGCGCCTTTGGGCTGAGGTGGCAGATGGTAGTGATCCCGGTTGCCTGAGGCGAAGTCGGAGCCAAAAGAGAATGATGAGTGGACCTTGGCATGTCGACGGTCGCGAGCGGGTTCTTAAGTTAGGCGAGAGTTTTGAGAAGCAGCCGCGCTGCGCCTTTCATACTGTGCGCTGTGAGTGAGGACCCCATCCCAGGAAAAAGGGGGGAATCTCTGGGTTATGGGGGTTTGGGAGCACGTCTCCGAGTTGTGTTCCCACAGACTCCCTTGTTTTGCTGGAGAATGGGGTTCCCAGAGATCCTCTGCCCTGCCCGGAGTCCTGTAGGGGTAGGTGGAAGGAGTCGGAGTCCAGCAGGTGTGGGTAAAACCGGGGGCAGGGGGATTTAAGTGAAACCAACAGACAAAGGGAAACTTTGTGAAGGTCTGCAGGAGTGACTGTGGAAACAGACGTGGATGATGTAGAGGTGGAAAGGAAAAGAGTAAGGTGGGTGAATGGAAGGGGGCAGAGGACCGAACTTAGGTGAGGGAACACCTTGAGGCTGGTGGGGAAATATTCTTTCTTTTCTTGACTTTTTCTTTTTGATTAAATAGCGTTATTATTTAGTGTGCTCCTGGGGAGAGGTTATGACCCATTCCAATAATCTGCATCTCTTTTAGATTCCTGATTTCATTCAGTTATCAAATACTGGTTATCAAACTGTTGGAGGGTATGTTATTAATTTTATTGGAAGGATATTTACTTCCCTATGATTTCTCCTTTTGATTACCTTTTGGTTTGTCTGAAACTAGTTTTGATAAATTACACTTTTTTATGTTGTTGAGGTTGGAAAGGGAAATCTTTTGCTTTAGTCGTTGGGTGGTTATATATATTCCAGGAGGGAAAATATAGCATATTATGATATGGTATGTCAAAACATTCATTCTTTGCATAAAAGCCCCCATAGAATTATAGAGCAGAAAGGAAACTGAGATCATTGAATCATAACCTCTTGTTTTTCTGTGCTAAAATTGTAAAGTAGGTATTTTTTCACTTCCTTTTCCAAGCTCTGCATTTCCTCATTGTGTAGTGTCTCATCATTATACCTTCTCACTTATTCTGTCCGTAGACTGTCCAGAGATCCTTATGGTTTTTACTCTGACTTGTTCCATGCTTCAGTTAAAACATCCAATTAAAACTTAACATTCCCCAAAAGTTTAAGTTTTAGACAATCTAACTATAGTAACTCACAGTAAAGATATGAAGAGCCAATAGGTTTTTTAACTCTCCAATGATATATTTACATTTTATTAAGGATTTTGCTAAGCAAAATTAACATCTAATTGATGGAATAAATGGGAGTTATATTTGCGAACAGAGAAGGGCTCTTAAACAATGTCCCTTAATGATTATTCTCCATATTCTGTTGTTCTAAGCTCCCCACAGTGAGACAGTTAGCGCCGGCTGTAGGGTCTTGCCTTGTTCAGTCCCATTTTACAAAAGTATGTTGTAGTTATTGTGTGGTTTCTCCACGCCGAAATCTCAAATAGTTTCATCTCTCTCCTTTTTTCTTTTTCCTCAGGTATGCAGTAGTCTTAATTTTTCAAATGACAAAATTTAAGATGATAAAAATTTGCTCAAGAATATATTTTCATGTATCTTGTGTATATATTCTTGTTTTAAGGGTGTGCACCCATATTAAGTGAATACTTTTGAAAAAAATAGCTTTTGAAAAAAACTTTGCAGGTGCTTCAAAGCTTTTCATTTATAAAGGTTCTCAACATCCTGGAATTTTGCCTTAAGAATCCAAGAATCAGCCGATCCATCTACAAGAATGAAAATAAAATAACAAGCCTAATAAACCCAAATGTGTGACTATATTAAAAAGGTTTTCAGCCCTTAGTTTTATTCTTGTTGTTGAAGCAGGCAGAATTTTTCTAGGTTTATTTAAATAAAACCAGTCACTTTTCTTGAGGATAGATTCATTTTACTTTTCTGCTTTTTAAAATATATTTTATTGATTATGCCATTACAGTTGTCCCATTTCCCCCCTTCATTCCCCTCCACTCTTCATACTCCCTCCCCCCATTCCTCCCCTTTAGTTCATGTCCATGTGTCACAAGTTCTTTAGCTTCTACATTTCCCATACTATTCTTGCCCTCCCCCTGTCTATTTACTGCATATGCTACTTATTCTCGGTACCTTCTCCCCCCTTCTCCTCCTTCCACTCCCTTGTTGCTAACCCTCCATGTGATCTCCATTTCTCTGGTTCCACTCCTGATCTAGTAGTCCACTTAGTTTGCTTTAGTTTTAGGTGTGGTTGTTAATAACTGTGAGTTTGCTGTCCTTTCACTGTTCATATTTTTTATCTTCTTTATCTTAGATAAGTCCCTTTAATATTTCATATAATAAGGGCTTGATGATGATGAACCCTTTGAACTTGACTTATCTGAGAAGCACTTTATCTGCCCTTCTATTCTAAATGAGAGCTTTGCTGGATAAATCAATTTTGGGTGTAGATCTTTGGATTTCATGACTTGGAATACTTCTTTCCAGTCCCTTCTTGCCTGGAAGGTGTCTTTTGAGAAATCAGCTGACAGCCTCATTGGGAACTCCTTTGTAGGTAACTGTCTCCTTCTCTCTTGCTGCTTCTAGGATTCTTTCCTTCATTTTAATCTTGGCTAATGTAATTATGATGTGTCTTGCTGTGTTCCTCCTTGGATCCACATTCTTTGGGACTCTCAGAGCTTCCTGGATTTCCTGGAAGCCTATTTCCTTTGCCAGATTGGGGAATTTCTCCTTTATTATTTGTTCAAATAAGTTTTTCACTGCTGCTGTTCCTCTTTCCTTTCTGGTACCCCTATAATTAAAATGTTGGAACGTTTAAAGATGTCCTGGAGGTTCCTAAGCCTCTCCTCATTTTTCTGAATTCTTGTTTCTTCATGCTTTCTGTTTGGTCATTTCTTTCTTCTTTCTGGTCCACTCCATTGATTTGAGTCCCAGTTTCCTTTCCAGTACTATTGGTTCCCTGTGCATTTTCTTTCATTTCACTTAGTGTAGCCTTCACTTTTTCATCTAATTTGTGACTAAAATCAATCAGTTCTGTGAGCATCCTGATCACCAGTGCTTTGAAGTGTGCATCTGATAGGTTGGCTATCTCTTTGTCACTTAGAAGTATTGGCTCTGGTGCTTTGAGCTGTTCTTCTGCTTGAGCCATAATGTTTTGGTCTGTTTGAACCTGTTATGTATGAGGGGTGAAAGCTTAGGTGTTCACCCGGGTGGGTCAGCCCAGTCGCTGGGTTGTGACTGGGGGCGGGGTCAGAGTGGGAGCAATGGCATTTGTTCCACTCTCTCTCAGATTTTGGTCCCCTCTGCCTCTTCCCACAAGCAAACTGGGCCCTTCTGGTGCTGGTTTTCTGGTGGGTGGGCTTGTGTACATTGTAGGACCCTGTGGGTCTCTCCAGCAAACTCTCCTATGACGCTGGGAGCCTCTCCCAGCACCTCAACCCCTGAAAGTTTTTTCAGTCAGTGCTTTTAGGCTTTATTTTTCATCACTGGGGTCCTGGGTTGGCAGTGTGTCTCACTGTGTGTTTTTGTTGCCTGGTTTATCTGTGCATGAATGTGTGACCATGGTCAGCCAGCCACCTTGCGCCCTCACTGGGTCTGCCCATTGCCACCCCACCCCTGGGATCTGCCAACTGCCACCTGCACACCTGGGTCGGTCGGGCAGCCACTGTTTTTTCCTGCCACAACCCCTCTCCGCCGGCCACTGACTCCACCCCTCGGTTTGTTGTCGGACTTCGGTACAGTTCAATTCTCTGTTTTTAGTTGTGTTTTTGTTTCTAAATCTTTGTTGTCCTTAAATTTGGTTGTATAGGGAAATACAGTGTTTTGCCTATGCCTCCATCTTAGCCGGAAGTCCAGATTCATTTTCCATATGATCTTCACTCATAAGAACTCATAGTGAAGGAAGGAAACTATAGAATAAGAGATCTTTTTTATTGTATTTTTTTCATTACCATTTAGTCCTCCTATACCTCCCTCCCCACTTCAGTCACCACACTGTTGTCCATGTCCTTGAGTCCTTTTACCTTTTTGCTCAACCCCTCCACCCCCATCTTCCCCCCACCCCTTAGCTGTCATTCTGCTTTCTGTGAGTCTATTTCTATTTTGCTTGTTAGTTCACTTTGTTCATTATATTCAACATATAGGTCCAGTCACAAGGTATTTGTCTTTCTCTGACTGGCTTATTTCACTTAGCATGATGTTCTCCAGGTCCACCCATACTGTTATAAAGGGTAAAATTTTCTTCTTTTTTATGGCCAAGTAGTATTCCATTGTATAAATGTCCCATAGTTGTTTTGTCCACTCTTCTACTGATGGACACTTGGGCTGCTTCCATATCTTGGCGATTGTAAAGAACGCTGCAATGAACATGGAGGTGCCTGTGTTCTTTCGAACTAGTGTTTTGGGCTTCTTTGGATACATTTCCAGAAGTGAGATCACTAGGTAAAAAGACAGTTCCATTTTTAATTTTTTGAGGTATCTCTATTGTGTAGCCACTGTGGATATTTGACTTTCATACAGAGCAGCTAGACCTAATTTGTAAAAACACTCAAGTTAATATAGTCTGGGAAAAAGTAATACTCTTTATGTAAAGCGGTAATTATGCCAATCCAACATGCTGAGGCTTTGGAAAAACCTGTATGTGAATTCTAGCCTCCACTACATGTATGTTATATTACTCTGAGAACATTCTCCAAACTCTCAGCCTCAGTTTTTTAATATGTAAAATGGTAATAATAATATATAAATTTCAGAGTTTTTTAAGGATTAAATAAGATAGCATAAACAACCTAGCACAATATTTGGTGCATGGTAGAGAATAAATAGTAGTCACCATTATTCTTGAAGGGTTATATTTATGTGTTTATGAGGAATGTCAGTGAATGTAATTTATTTAGACTTTCAAAAACATTTATTGGGCTTGGCAATAAAACTATTAAATAGATAGTCTGGCATGTGGTAGGGCAGACATGGGATGTTCTAAAAATGATTAACTCAATGGTTAGCAGATGTTTCACAGTGTAGAAGAGTTTGAGTAACATGTCTCAGCAGAATAAATTTCAAATTTGGACTAGGACTAGTTTTACAATGTATATCCAGATAAAGGAATAAACATTGAAATTTTTAAGTT